GTTCTCATTCATTCATCCCCAGACTTGGTATGTACAATCTACACCTCCTTAGCTATGTTCCATACACCAGACCTTAGTTCTTAAAATGTTTGGTTCTTGTGTTATAGCACCAACTTTGTCCAAAAAATCATGTGACATTACTTTTGATCAGGGAGTGTAGCTGTGATGCTAGGCAACTACCCATAACTACTGGCTTAAACATGTTATATCAGTGCTTGAATATATCTGCAGAGGCTGGAAAAGGTGAAAAAATAGCTCAGAGTTTTTTTATAGAGTAAGGACCCCAGACACTCCTGTGACTCTGGAGGAAAAAATATATACATGACATAAAAAAGATCTGTTCAGAACAAGAGAAAAGATCTTTTGTGTGACAGTGGATAAAAAATAATACATGACAATGAAAAGATCTTTTTGCAGTCAGGGAAAAGATCTTTTAGTGTGACAGTGGACAAAAATAAATACATGACAATGGGATATTAAAAGGATAATTCTGATCATGTGACAGTGGACAAAAATATATACGTGACAGGAAAAAGATCTTTTTGTATGCAGGGAAAGGATCTTTTGGTGTGACAGTGGACAAAAATTAATACGTGACAGGATCATTCTGGAAGGATCTTTTGGTATTCAGGGTCCCAAAAGATCCATCCACCACCTTACTCTTAGCTGGGATCATTTGCCATTTTATCCCAGCTAGTGGTTAGTACTTGGGGGTTGACTGAAGTGCAACATTTATAATAACCCCGATCTATAAATCGGAAAAGATATTGAAGAAGATATTTTAAATTTCTTTCCCAATATATCCGGCCAAGGAAAGGTGTAAAATTTATTAATTTCTACACAATGTTTTCACACTTTATCCACCATTTACATAAGCCAATGCCCGCAGTGTAGGTCTTTGTTTATTATTGGTGAAGATGACTTACCCTTTTTTTAGGGATTGAAGTAATTACTCTTTGCACATGCAAGCCACCAGCACTACAGCTTCTTGAGCAAGGGCTCTTTCCTTCTGCTCCAGTTTCCCCTTCTCTTGCTGTGGACTTGAATATGCTGGAATTTGTGAATGAGCTTTTCGTTAATGCTGCCCCAAATACGACTGCTTGGTGTGAAACTCTTGAGTCATTTTTGGGAAATTGGAGATATAAGTTGGCTGCTCGAGTGAGTTTAACATGCAGTAACTTCTGCATTTTTATTGACATATCTCTAGGATAGTTTGTGTTGTCGCTTTGGAAATGCAATGCAATGGTATGCAACTTTGATTGACTGCAAAAATCTTCGCATTCAAGACTATTTGGATCAAGTAAGACTATCACTTACACAACCTTCTGGTATGGTGTATTCTTTTCTTAATGATTTCCCTCTCTAAGCTGAAGTTCTTTAGATGATAATGAGGGTACATGATCAACTTTTTCTTTTTTTAATTGACATAACACTGATTAATTTGAAGATGTAGAAATGGAAAGTGCTGATGATTTTGAAAACCAATCCCATTCTGCATCACCAGAACCTAAACAGCTTGAAAGGCCAAGTGAGTATTTGCGTGCAAGATGCCCCTTGTGTTTTGGTGGTGAAGACTGGAGCAAACCAGAAGAAAAGTGAGTGATTTTCAAGGTTTCCCATAATAAAACTCAAAAGAAATATTCAGGGTTGATATAATTGCTTGCTTGGATGTGTGCTTCAAGCAGAAGTGCTGTAAGGCTCAGGGTAAGGAACCTCCTGTTCCACGTCAACACCCTGACACTGCCTTTGTTTCTCCGGATGATGTCAAAAGTATGGAAGCTTTAGTTGATGAAGTTTGAACAGTCAAAGACCCAAAAAAATCAACACGCAAAGCTCCAGCAAAACCTGAGTCTCCTGATCTATGTGAACCTGGAATTAAAGTTCCCAATTCTATTCTAAATCTATGTGGGGATTCTTTTAAAGCAGCAGATGACAAACGGGTGAAAGCTAGCACTCAATACTTTTCAGACACTGGTCTGATGGCTTTGCTCTGTCGACATGATCATGTACTATGGCTGGCCAATATGACCTCTGCTGGGGAAAAACAACACTATGCTTTAGTTCTGCTGGATAGATTATTTGATCATTTGCCTTCTACTGCACGTGTTGGAATACTCTATATAATATTGGTTGTCAACTTCATCACAGCTGCATGAAATGGGGGTTTCTCAAAGACTACCATAATGAGCTCATCTGGGCTATTTCAGTCTTTCATGCATATGGGCATCAATGGGCTTGCCAGATCATCTATCATCCAAGAAAGTGTCTTGGCTTTGGTCTCACAGATGGGGAAGGCTGTGAATGATTCTGGAGTTCAATAAAGCTGCTGATTCCTTCTATGAGAGTAACTGGTTACTATAAATGTCTCTATACAATTGATACTCAAGTAAAACATCTGGACCAAAAATCTCTGCTAAATCTTGGGGATTGGTTGCATAGAAAATGGAAAGCAACTATGGAACACAAAGATAAAGCAGGGGGATTACTTGCTGAACTTGAAAGAAAGAATATCACAGAAAATCTATTAAGAGAAGAGTGGGCTGCTCAAGTTAAACAACAGACAAAGCCAAACCCCTGTCAGGCTAAGAATTTGGCTGACAAAACCATTGAAGAAATTTTGGAACTAAAGGAACAGATCCAGTCTTACAAGAGAGAAGTTAATCAATTTGAAAACATGATTCAAAGTGGCAACTATCAAGGAGAGTGGGACTTGGCAGAAGTTAAATTGCAGATTGAAGAACTAAATGAAAAATGCAAAAAAGCTGAGGTAGCTAGGAGAACCAAGCATACATCTCTTAGTGTGGATGGTCACCTCAGTCTTGATCATCTGCTTGGAAACAAATTTCTACAGATCCGAGTGAATGCTCTAGCTTTGAAAAAGAGACTACGAAATTGTCTCCAGCAGCGAAAATTTGAAATTGATGGACTGGAGAGAGCTCACAGAAAAACAACTACAAATGAAAAGAAACTGAGAGAACATTCTCAGTCACAAATTAGATGCAAAGAGCCTGGCATTCAGCAGCTAGCAAAAAAATATAATGACTTGTGTGTACAGTCAATCAAGATGGTAGAAAAAAGGGAGGCACCTCATGGTGCATGGGCACCTCATCTAATTTCCACTGATGTGCTATTCAAACTAGATGTGGATGATGATATTTGGCAGGATGTTGGGCTTGATGAAATGGATCTTGGTATTGATGTGCCAAGATGGTTGGGTGATGAGGGTGTATGGCAAGGAATTAAAGCATTACTTGAGTGGGACAGATGCTGTGAGGAGGATCAGCAAACCTACAGATTACTTGTGGGCTTTTCGTGACTTTTTGTGTCTGACAGCTTGTTGACAAGTCACAAGCTGGGAAAAGCTCGCAAGTCGACAAGTTACTGCAATTGTAGAATTACCTATCATCCTACAACTACATCTATTCTCGTAGAAATCTATGTGCATGATGGTCAGTCTACTGATTAACAAAGTTAGCACAAAATGCGTCAAATGATGGAAATCTTTTGGAAAAGTAGATGAAACAAAAACGGGGCGCAAGGCACAATGGAAACCAACAGTAAATTGTAGACTATCATGCCCGTTTCTTTTGAACTGGGCTGTACAACATACAAGCCAGTCTCTGACAGGACTATCACTTACAAGAGCGCATGAGTGACGATGATTCTCAAAATTGAATGAAAAGAAAAGGGCACACCTAACAATCAAGTAGAGTACAGAAAGCATACGCAAAGTGTTGCTCACTAGTCGAATGGGGTTGTCAGAATCATGTGTAGGGAGTATGACTTTCAAGTGGAGACGGTGTGATATTCCAGTGATGTGTATTGTTGTGTCGTGCTGGACCAAACGGGTTGCAGAATTCACGAGAACAGTCACTGCATGGGTAGGAAGGCATCTGAGGGTGGCAAAAGCATAGTCGGCAAGAGTGGGGAACACAAGCAAAGATAGTGGACATCAAAGCTGCGAAAAAGTGGTTCGACTCGCTTATATAATAAGCAGTAACCAAGTTACGCATGTGCCTGATGCACATCTTTATTCCCGCCCACATTCTCTCCACCCATTCATGAAGACGAATCAATAAGATGTCTACCATGCTCTCTAGGCTGTCACTCCTTTTACCAGTTGGTGAAACAGTTCCTATCACTGGAGTGAGTCAGGCATCGGGAGTGTATGTTCCAGTTAGACCTGAATTTCCAAGACTCTAATGTTTTTTTTTTGTTACAAAGGGAATCACATTAGCCGAAATCCTGAAGATCAATAGCAAAGCCAAGGTCGTGAGGGTGACTCGGAGTGTCAACACAACCTCACCGGAAGCTGTCAGCATCCTCGAACAGGCAGTGAAAGGTGCATTTGGCCATGTCAATATACTCATCAACAATGCTGGGATCGGTGGACAAGGTCTCATCAATCATAACAACGTCAATGAGTGGTGAAGTGACATGGTGCATTGTTCTTTCACTT